CTGAGAAGTGAGTTTTCTCACCGTCACACAGCAACAGTTACTGGACCATTGCAAGAAAATCTCACACTATAATCTTGCCCGACCGGGAATCGAACTCGGGGTAGGGTCATGGAAAGCGAGCAAGCTGGCCAATGAGTTAAACCGTGAGAACTGATGATTATGCACAAGTATAATGTATTTCATAATAATTTAAATAATAAAATAAATAACTCTTACAATTTTAATTTATATTATTTATATTATTCATCTAAAAATGTGTAATAAACGTGTCATTGTCGCGTCGCGAGCCGTATTTCCATTTCAAGCGTTTTGTAAGAGCCAGTGCGCCATGCGATCTGTGTCGACTCTTCCCACAGAGACTTGCGCCTCGTAGTGCCCGGCCGCTGCCTCGCTTCGCACCGTATTCTGAGAAAATGCCATGTAGCGAGCGTAAAACAGTAGTATGCTGTGTCCATGCTTGACGCAAGCGCGTTGTACGTAAGCCAGCGAATTCTCTAGCCACTGTTTTGGCTGTAGCCACTGTAAGCCAGCCATTCCTCTTGCCACTGTTTTGTTGAGTTGACAAGCGGCGAAAGTGATTATTATGTAGGAAGTATTTATTTTTTTTATTTCAAATTAGTATGTTGTGTTTTATTAGTGTTACTTGATTATTTATATTTAAATCTGATTTTACGTTAATATTATGACAGATACAGGGAATGAACTACTACGTCTCCGTTTTCTCGTCTTAACGAAATACAAGAGACAAATTTTGGTCAATGGTCAATCTATATTGAGTACGGATGTATATTGTGCTGGTGGGCAAATTTAATACTTTTCAATCCTTCCTTGTATGATTTACACAAATGGCTAACACGTAGTAAAGTTAAAGCTAAGCTTTATTGTTATCCGTGTCTTTTATTGTCAATTAAGGAGACTACTTTGAATAGAAATGGATGTTTTCATATATATTCATATATTTCAACATATCAAAATCTATACAAAAACATGAAATGTCAAAAGATTTAAATGTCAATCGAAAAAAATAAATCATATTTCTGCATTATTGTCAGAGTAATACAAACAGGCCACACGTTTTTTAGAATATGAGTGTCTTGAAATCGCGACTTCGCGTGCTTCGCGGAAATAATGGCTTGGAATGTAATGATATAAGTGAGACAATTGTTATGAATTAATTGAATAAAATTACAATAACAAAAACAGAATTGAGGTGGGGCATGGCCCTCATGCCCCATTCCCGAGATGTTGCTATTCATTAATCTGTTTTGCCTACCTTGAACCTTTGTTCACGAGCCACCACTGATATTACTTGTGCTATTTATATTGCATGGCAAATTACAAAAACAATGTTATCTATGAATTTAAATGTGAATCAATTTTATCATTTTTTTACCAATAATAAACTAGTGGTGCTAAAACAGCACGTACTTTCTCGCCTTATTTTCAGGCAAAATTACGCGAAAAGTACTCAAATTCTCGAAAAATTGTAAATTAACGTATTTCAAAATCTATCTTTAAGGAACAGATTTTATTAAGGTAAACAACTCTATCTTCGATATTTTAGATGCAGGAAGACTCCGAAAAAATTTGAACTTTGCAATTTTCAAAAAATCAGAGATTTCAACGAACATGAGACCTAAACCAATCTCTTAAACGTCCTTCACACCATCCAACAACAAATTTTAATACAAATAATGGGGCCTTTTTTATTTTAAAAATTCCAGGGCCATCATGTAAAGTACACCCAAAAATTATAATATAGGTTTCAAATTCAAGGGACCGTGACATCAGCCAAATCGATTGGAGAATATCAGTTTTGGAGAATATCCTCCAAAATTAAGATATCGGTTTCAAATTCAAGGGGCCGCGATATCAGTCACATCGTTTGGGGAATATATATTTTGGAGAAAATCAGTTGAAAGATTTAGCCACTAGCGTTGTTCACAAACGGTCGGACAGTCAGACACGGTCAGGCGGACAGACGAACAGACGTTTCGACGTCATTCGATTTTTCGGTATCAAGGACCCACAGAGCATGGATTCTGGCTACATCACGTGGTGCATGATTTATTTTTCTAAATTTAGCAACTGTATTTATCTACTTTTACTTTCTTGCTACCACTTACGCAGAAGATAGAAAGTTATGTAATGCGCAAAAAACTGCGAATTTTCGACAGTCGGCAAAAATCGAATGACGGCAAGACGTCTGTCCATCTGAGAACAACGCTAGCGGCTAAATCTTTCAACTGATTTTCTCCAAAATTGATATTCCCCAAACGATGTGACTGATATCGCGGCCCCTTGAATTTGAAACCGATATCTTAATTTTGGAGGATACTTTACGTGAAGCACCGGGAACATTTTCAAAATATGGCTACATATTGGCTGGGAGAGGTAACCCAGAGCATTATCTGATGTCACTGCAGTACCTCTGACAGCGAGGTCCTAGGTTCGACTCCCAACGTGGGCAGGATTTTCGACAATAGCTTTTCAGCTAGGTCGAATCGCTTTCTGAAAGAAAATTCTAGTGGCCTGCTACTCTGATCTGTAGTTTTCCGTGGTTTCTCTTATCAACGCCAGTCGAATGCCGGAGCAGTACCCTAACAAACGGGCCATGAACCTCGCGCGATCTTTCCTACTTCTTTCTCTTCTATCCTCTCCCTTTACACACACACTAACATGTATTACACTACCACAAATGCCGGTAGACCGGTCGGGAGCTTAGGGCTTGTCCCGGCTGAGGTGGTGTCCCGTGGTTGGAGATACCTGGTGTCCCGTGGTTGGAGAAGTCCGTTAACCGACGGTAGGTCCGCACCGGATCACGCCATCCAGCGGGGGAAGACCACCGCCGCCACCAAAGGGAAAGCATGCACTAAACTTACGACACTAATGATCTTAGTAGTTGACAGTCTCGGAACCATTAACAATCAATCAATATCATTGATTTATTCCTCGTTCCTAAATGTACCGTAGATTGGGGTTATTTTGATATTCAGGAGTGGCTTTGATATCTCCTTGACACTATGTTTAAGTGATGTAGCAGCTACTACTCTTGACTCGATACATTTCTTGTGCTGCTGTTGGCTATTCTGGATGTCTATGAGCACCAACAGACATATTACTGTTTCATATGGTAGCTGTGGCTGTGTTTTGTTTCTAATTGTGTATTATATCTTGAACAAATTCGTGAGACAAAATTTCCAAACCGAGACTACGGTAAATATTTTATTGAAGTATCTAACAAGTTAGTAGTAATAGGATTCTTTGGGGGGGGGGGAATAGTGAATAGAAGAATATTCTATCTTAAAATGTCAGATAGTTTTGTGATCATTTGGTGAATGGGGTGATTTTGAAAACAGTCGAGAGGTAACTCTGATTAGTATTTTTTGTCAAATAAATCATATAATACGGGTATTAAACAACGATCTTTTTATCACATATTACATTATTTAATATAAAGCAACTGGTATTGCACCTTTCAATCCTTTCAAAGTTATGACCAAACTTCGTGGTGCTCAATTAGACCAAAATGTTGGAAATATTATGCAGGACTCTCATTTAGGGTATCTAAGTCACCCCAAAACAAGAGTGACTTTGATGGGGCGGTTTTTAAAATATTTTAATCGTGTGAATCATGGTATTTATATAATTTTGTTACGTAAAGTATCCTTCAACCTCCACGCATCTGTTACATTTCTCAAAAGTGCAATTTTCAAAACCGAAGATGTAATTTTCCAAAAACAAAAGTAAAAGTTAACTCCATTCTACGGTAGTAAATTACTTCCTCTTATAAGTTATGAAGTTTGTATTCACGTTTTATGAATCGTAAAATCTTGATATCGAAAAATGTATTTATGCCAAAATGTCTGTCTCTCTGCCCGTCTATCCGTCCGTCTGTGGACAACGCTACCAATCTAAAAATGTTCGATTTCTCCAAAATTGATATTCCCCGATCGATCTTGCCGAACTCCAGGCTCTGTGTGTTTGGAACTGACAATTTGGTTGGGGGGGGGGGGGTACTTAACATAAAGCTGCAACTTTTTCGTAATGTTTCAAAAATGGCTAAAAATTTTTGATATTTCCACCCTCAATTAAACCAAAAGACACTTAAAAATATGGCGCAGGTCATATTTTTTGTTGAAATCTATGAATTTTTAGAAATTGCAAAAGTTTATTTTTACAGCGTCTTCCTACATCTTCAATATTGAAGATAGAGATTTTTCGTAGTAAAGTCTGTTCCTGAAAGACATTTTTAATTAAGGTCATTTACAATTTTTTCGAAAATATGATGTTATTAAGTCGTTTTCGCCTAATTCTTAATGAATTTTAGGCAATTTTAAAACTATTATTTTTTATAAGGTCCATATTTTTTTCTTTTTTCTCGAATAGAGGAAAGTACGCTTGTCAAATCACGCGGATCCAATTTCGGTACACTCAATGTATTTTCAAAAATTAAAAAAAAAATCAACATTGCAGAAGTACAATGTCGATGATATCGATTTTTTCCTTAACTAAACATTAGATATGTATAATCAAAAGGTCGTGTACAATTTTTTGAAAAATCAAACAAATAAACGTTTTCGGGTAATTTTTGCTTGAAGGAAAGATAGTTTATTACATATTTACCCTGAAGTCGGTCCAAATTTTCTATTTAAATTTTCTCATCTGGGGCCAAAGAAGGGCGCATAGGTTTTCAACGCAAAGTTCAACGAAAATTGCAAAAGTTGCAAACAATGCGAGAATGTATGAAATGAATGTTGTAGCATCACTGGTTATTTAATGTTCATATAATTGTCAAATATCAGTTATGTGCATTTGATCATTAATATTATTCTTCTCTACAAAAATTTCTGTTGAGATCATGATGACCATGGGTCCCTTTCTTTAGAATATCAAAGGATCTCATTTTGTCCCACCACATTGCTGTCTTTCATAGTCCAATTTATGTTTTAGTTCCTATTCCTAAGTACTAAAAATGTATTATTTGTATTGTGTTACAGGAGGATTTAGGATCCATGTATATGGTGAAGAAGATTGCCCCTCATGAATTGCACGAGCCACACTTATGTCTACGTGGCTTGTCATTTCACCAGCAACATCGTGAACCAAGTCATGTGGAGACCATTCGGGACATAATAAGATCATGCGTCAAGCTGCTTAATGACCGAGTTGGCACTCCACCTCAACGGTCCATTTCAATGATGGAATTATCATGCTCACAAGTCAATACAAAAAGGATCTTGTGGCACAGACGCAGTCTTAGCTTACCAGACCCCAAAAAACCCTTTGAAAGTGAACCCCCAGAGCCTTTCTCCATTTACCCTAAGTGGTGTGGTTCCCATGACCTTCTTCAAAGCTGCTCGGAAAGTGATGGAGAATGTTCCCATAACTTAGGGTCAAAATCAGCTATCCTGAGTAATAGAGAAAACAGTTTCAGAAGTAACATGTTACCTTTAAATACATTGTCCCAAGGTGTGACTTCTAATGTTATAATTTCTGACTGTGTTGAATCTGAAGACATTATTGGACCTCCAACACAATTTTGTAATACAGTGAAGTCACTAAAGAATGAATCAGATGAAAATTACTTCTTGGATGATGATGTATTCAATTTGCAAGAAGCAGATACAAGTTTTTACAAAACAATTGAAAAAATTGATAACACTCTTTTTGAAAACGAACTCCATTCTCCCACCATGCCTTCATCAACTGAAGAAAAACTACTTTTTAGTATGGATTCATCGGATGATTTATTCTTCTCAAACACTGGAACATCCTCCAGAAAGAAACCAGTAAATGCACCCTGTGGAATGGAACCTTGTCTTCTTTACTGCGATTCATTTACTCGCGAGGTAACTTGGAAACATTTTTCCTGCCCAAATTTGAAATTCCAGTAGTGAAAATTCAAAGGAATCTAACCAAATTGTTCAAGTTTGAACTTTGACTTTCACTTTCAGCAATTCTTTTCAAGTAATTTCATTATATTACATTGATATTTTACACCTGTTTCATTTTACTAATCATTTTGGAAATTTGTATTTATAACTGAATGTGAGTAGATGTTTGTTCTATTAGTTCGTAGCTGTGATCTTTCATTTACCATCATTAGTTATGAGAGAAAGTTCAGACTTCCTATCACTTGACCACAATATTTATTATGTAATATGTAAAACAGAAAGGTTGGGTGATATCATACAAAATATTATATACAAATTTTGTAAGTCACCAATAGTGTTTTTTAAATTAATATCCTTTGAAAAACATTATACAGCCTGAATCATCTCAACATATCAAATATTATATTCAAATGCAAAAGTATTAAAATACAACAAAATTGTATTTATTTTATTAATATCATTAATATATTTGTATAATTTGGGAATTTATGTATAATTTGGGAAGAAGACCTAATTTAGAGAAAAAAACGAAAACACACAATATGGTCAATGCATTTTGTCTAGGAATAAATAAACCTGCATTGCTCTGTCACAACCCTTCAAAATGAACTTGAACTCATCCCTATTGTTCTCAGCATGATTAGATAATTATTATTATATTACACATTCACTTGTGCTTGTTTAGTATTAATTATATTTAAATATATGTTTACAATATTTTCTCAAGTTATCTTCCAGGCCAGGCAGATGAGTAACTTAGATTACAGATAGGTTACGTACTTGAAACAAATCTTTCTACAAATAAAAAGGATGCTAATGAAATGACCTATTGATGAAATAGAATGTTCTCTAGCAATACATTTGTATTCTCCATTTGTAACATTGTTTTTTTACCAAAAAGGAATTGTGTATTGGTTAAGTCATTTATTTACAATTTTGTTAGTAATTAACACAATATTGATTTGCCTTTGTGTAATTTACAAATACTCTTGTGCTGTACAAACCTAGCATCCCATATAGCCGATAGTAAAAATATTGTTTTCATAAAAGAGTCCTCCAACTTCAATGCAGTTCTATACGAATTAACAAGACGAAGTAAAGATGATGAAAATATTTTGTTATTTGGGTAGATTCATCACAGCTATTAACTGTGATTTTGCAAGAGGAAGCCATAACTTGCTAGACACAGTGACATGAAAATAATATAGAAAAATTGTGAGGTTTATAAAATACTTCAGAATAATAAATAATAAATTATTTTTAATAGCAGTAGATTAAAACTTCAGTCCACTAGATCTCAAGAAAAAAATATTGTAGAGTACTCCAAATCAAGAAGTTATAAACAGCTGCATGCCATTTCCCAATGCCATGAAATTTGCTTTAGTTGGTTTTAGATATTTTCAGAATCATCAAATTAATGTCAATAAGACCTGTAAATATGGATTAGTATGAATAATAGTCTTGAGGAAGGCTTGAATATAATATCAACTGTTTGAAATCTAGCGTGTTGAAACTGTAATATGTAAAACTTATATTCAGTTGTGGTGGTAAGGAATAAGTTTGTTCTGTGAAAAGAAAATCATCAGTTCAGAAAATGCATCTAGCAGCATTTTTAGTCAAATTAAATCTTCCTCCCTTCTAAACATTTCTATTCGTTTACAACTACATGTGATCTTAAGATTAATTTGAAAAAAGTATTAAGTTTAAAATATTGAATACCTTTATCCATTATAAGATGTGCATTCATTGTGATTGATATTTATTTGCATTATGATTGATATTTATTCGCATTACATATATTAATGAGTGAATAATTAACCTTGAACAGCCACAACAAAAAACATCCTGGCAAAACTCTGGCAAAACACCAAAATTCTAAAAGTCCAGTAAGGAAAACCTAGTACTGAAGCTATTTTAAATACGGTCGTTAGGATCTATTCTAATCAAATAAACTCATAGAAATAGATGTTATCTTCTTTGAAAAAGGAAAGAATGTGAAAAAGTTCTTTAAATATATTTCTTTTGAGTGTTATAAGAAATTCCAAATGAAAATGTGTTTATTTTTACACAAACAAGACTTTTATAACACAAATGAAAAACATATGAAGAGAAAAGAAGAGTATTAATTACCTACACTAAACAAAATTGTGAAGTAGTAGTTCATGTTGTTTTCAGAAATATCAGCAGGTTTCAGGGTTTCCAGGAGATATTGCAATGTTTGGATTTAATGAATAAATTTTAATTGTCTTATACATTGTAATGTGGTGACTAATATTATGTTCACAAAACTGAACATTCATCTTTGACACTGTCACAATCACATTATTTGTAGATCTTGTCACCATCAATTTTTTCTTTTTCAATACCTTCAAATGAAACTTCAAGATTTTTCTCCTCAATCTTTGACTCTGCAGGTGAAATTGTACTTAACAATGAAATCTACAAGTTGCTTTTTTTTTCTTTTTCTGCTAGAGATCTAATTCATAAATGCCTATGGGATCTACTGGCATTATATTTATCCTAACAGTTAATACTTGTGACTTCTTTGAGACAAAAGCATCTTCTCTGAGTCATCGTTCCCACCAAATATTTTTATAGTCATTTATCCATTCTTCCAGTGTTATAATATTTAGTTTTGGAGTATCTCTTTTAGTTTTATATATTTTTTCATTGCATTAAGTGCTGTCAGCTATGAAGGACTGCTTTTATCTTCTTGATATATATCGATGCCATGGACCAACATTAGCTTTATGGATTTCAGAATTTAGTGTTTCTTTTTTAACATAATCCTCCTTTATTGATTGACTTGGTTCTTGCAGTTACTTTCTGTAAGCATTCTGTTTGTCTTGTACAGCTTTACCTATAATTTCAGACCAAATTTAAAATTTGGACTGAAATTATAGGTAAAGCTGTACAAGCTGCCTTAATTCTTCCTCAAATTTTAATACCCTAATTCTGCTAAATTGACATTCAGCATTGACTATAACTAGCTCTACTTGTTTGTGATTGATAGGTTGTCAGTGATTCCAGTCACTTCAACTGCTAATGTAATTAGTCCCGTAAGTGTAGTGCACGTGTTTTCCTCAGGAGGTGGTGATGATCTTCCCTCGCTGGATGGTGAGATTTGGCACAGACTGAGTGTCAGCTAGCAAGGTTTTCCCTCAAACAGGTATCTCCCATCAGCAGGAGATTGGAGGTTGAAGTTTTTCAAAGAGCTTATTTGGAATAGGTATCATATAGTCAAGTGTCTTTTAAAGACATCTGTTTTATTGAAATAATTTCTATTTGATTTAATGGGCTTACATTTGTATCTTTGAACCCACAAGTAAGAGAAGATATCACGTTCCATAAATGCCTGAGAATTTTTACCCTCAGCTGTTAAGTTTTCCATTGGAAATTATATAGTTAACAAATTTTCTATCACCTCTGGCCACCCTTGCGTATTTTATAAATACTTTTTTCTAAAAATTACATTTGTCAGTTTAACATTATTAAATGTTGCAAATTTGCTTTGTTTTTTCCATTTTCATTGACACACTTTCCACCGAAAGTTTCTACTGCATATTCCCATATTTGCATATTCCCAACTCTGGTGTTTAGATCTCCAAAGTAATCTAACTTTCATTCATGTCTTTTTTTGGAGGTTGTAGTAAAACTCAATCTTAGTACCAGTATTCTCTCATTAATGTATTTATAACACTCAATTCTAGATTTCTGTTTTTTAACTATCAGGCGTTCCACTCTGTAACAAGTTCTTGTCTCTGCTCGACTGTATTATAGAGTATGGTAAAATCTTCCAATCTCGCTGGTATTGCCTTGCAATTTCTTCAATTTATGTTATTGGAATGTTTGGAATGAATGATGAATTATGAATTGGAATTGGCTTTATGAAATCATGGATGTGAAGCAACTTAAGACACTGTGGATTCCTGGTCAGGTGACCATCTGGGAACCCTGATTACTAACAGTGCCAAGGCCGTGGCCAAAGGAATAAAAAGCATTGACTGACTGTGACCTGATGAGAGAAAATTATCAAAACTTATCGGAGGTTTACTCCAGAGATTATTCACTGAATGCTCAAGAAGGACTACAGGATGTGTTGCAAAAATACTGCAACAAATCATAACTTTTTCTTTCTTTTAAAATGTTGTTAAAGTGTTCCCTACATTGCTGATGACTCTAACATTCTGCAAAGCTACAATGAACTATTTTCTAATAGCAAATAACTTTTCCATGGTCTTGCTAGGTCATTTGAGTGCTGGCTCTTTATTTGGAGATTTAAAAGTAATACTTTTTGTGTAATAGCGAACCAGTTTGTAATAGAAAAGACCTTCTCCCAGCAAAAAAACAAACAAGAGATATAGAAAGGAGAAAAGAGGAGAAGAAGAAAAAAAGTGAAAAAAGCAGAAGAAAAATAAATGAATCTCTAGCTCTCGAAATTTAGTAGCATCAGGGTCAAAATAACACTAGGGACCTAGAACTTTCCTCATAGGAAAGATGTGAAGGAAGTGTGGGATACGTAAGTATGACATAAGAGGGGAGGGGGAGGATATTCAAAATGATGAGATATGATGAGGCGATAGATTGGGAGGATGGGACTGATGAGCATTGAGAAAAAATCCCTCACCCGACTTGTCAACTATCTGTTCCACTCAGTAGCACTAATGTATTCTTCAACATACAAGCAGTTCTACCCCTGCTGTAGCCTTCAGTTGCAAGAGATCACTCGATTTCCTTGTCTACAAGGTCATTGCTACTAAAAGACTGGGTCTTCTTCAGAAGGTTGTTTTGCTTAAAGATATTACAAATAAATTATTTCATAACGTGTAGTGACATTATTCAAAAGGTTGAAATGGTATGTAAGATTACTTTGTTTGAAAGAAAAAAAATGTTATTTTCTTTAAACCCATTTTAAAAGACATCCTTCCACAGAAATTAATTCAAACATTTTCACA